TTTCCTCGATGTTCCTCAGTACACTCTTCTTGGCATCGATACTCAGGTACTACACTACCCTTTAGTTACAACTCTTCTATTTTTTCTCCATTTCTTTCCATAATCAAGAATTTGGGGTATTTTATTTAGTATCTTGTGATTTTGTATTTAATATCTGGTGTTAACTGTATATGATTATATAATACAGATGTTTTCTGTTGGACCTAATTTCAAAGGTATCAAGATGATTCCTCCAGGTCCTCACTTTATATACTACAGTTCTTCAAATAGGTTAGCTACTTTTCATCATCCAAATTCCCCATTTTTCTATATTCATATCATTTTATAACGCTTTAGAGTCTTTAGATATATAATTTCATATGATTGTTCTTGAATTATGAATTGTTTTTCTTGCAGAGGTGGAAGTGAATTTTCACCAATGATAGGTTTTTTTATCGATTTGAATCCATCTCAGGTCAGAATTTTCTCACTAATTCTTTCATTTTGATCAATTATAAACACCATTTGTACCCTTTTTTCCTACAGGAATTTGATTAATCTAATCAAAACTATCTTTTTTTACTTCATATGACAGGTAATTGTTCGCCAGTGGGATCAACAAGAGGAACGATTAGTTAAAATATCAGAAGAAGAGGTATGAATCATGAACCTTTTCTTATTACTTTGATTCTAAATAATCACAATATTATAAGTTTATAACCTATTTAGTCTTTGAATATCAATTTTTATCTTTATTGAAGGAAGAAAGATACTCTCAAGGTGTAAAAAATATGGAGTTTGACAAATACCTCGGGCCTTATACACTAAATCAATTTGGGGAATGGAAAATGTTATCAAACTACATTACAAAAACTACTATTCAAAGAATTGGTAATTATAACTTTTTATTACTAGATTAGATACATAATTTGTTAAAATTTTATTTGCTTTTAATCTTCATTCCACATGCAGAACCCATTGGAGCAGAGATCACAATAATTCATGAACCCGATATTTTTGTAAACAATCCAAAAACTGCAATGGAGGAAGCTTTATCTGAGCAATTAAAGAACACTAAAATTCAAAAATCTGATGATAAAATTGTAAAAAGAGGTTGTTATTACACGAAAATCCCACGTTTAATTAAACAAAAGGGAATCCTCGGGCAAGATCTTACTTCCTTGAATCTTGACAAGGTACACGTTGCAAAATTACCATTTTACCCCTTGGAAAAACATAAATGACACGTTTTTCTTATACCATGTAGACAAGTCTTTTGGAAAGCATTTTGATTAAAGAATATGAAGGAATGGAAGATTTGCTTCTTGGAGAACTGCAATTTGCTTTTGTTGCATTTTTGGTAAGATTTTTTAGTGAAATTCTTTAAAGAAAAATGATTTTAAAAAAAATATCTGAAAAATCAATATGTTTTATTTGGCAGATGGGACAATCACTTGAAGCATTTCTTCAATGGAAAAATTTTGTTAACCTTTTATTTGGTTGTACTGAAGCTGTAAGTTTTCTCAAATATTTTATTAAACATCAACACTTTATCCATACAAAATGTTTTAACTTTTTTTTTTAATATTTTTTTCAGCCTCTTCATACACGGAGTAATTTGTTTACTAAGGTAATTGTATATGATTTTGACAACTATTGTTATTCTATATTTCTATTATTTATAATTTATTATTGTTTTTTGTTGTTGACATTAAAGTTTGTGATTTTTTTTAATAGTTTATCAAGGTTGTCTATTATCAACTCAAGTATGCATTTCAAAAAGAAAATAATGCTGCTACAAAAGGGTCTATCACATTGTTAGATGATTCCTTTTTATCTTCTGATAGTTTTCTTCAACATCTGTGTAAGGTAATCCAATCTTTTTTTTTTTTTTTTTTTTTTAGTGTTTAATTAGTTTGTTAATAATTAAATTTTTACAGGAGTTCTTTTTGCTTGTGCTTCAAGCTCCCTTTGTTGATGGAGACCTTTTGTCTTGGGTGAGTATAATTCTCACTCATTTTACTAAAGCTTTATAAATTTTCTTCTATATTAATTTCAAGTTTTAACTTTTGTTGTAATTATAAACTTGTGTAATGTATTTATGTAGACAAGAAAACTTAAAGAGTTACTAGAGTCATCTCTTGGATGGGTATTTGAGCATGACACGAGAGACGGCATCTTTTATGAAGATGATGATGAGGTTGGTATAGTACACTGTATACTGTGTATTGTGTACTGTGTAACAAATTTGTTTTTGCAGTTTGCTCCGGTGGTGGTGATGTTGGAGGAGTGAAGATATGATGGATTTTTGGCGACTTATTAGGCATTTGGAAACAACATCAAGATTTTTTTTTTGGGTTATAATAATAAAATTTTGTGCAATATCTATTTATAGTTAGGGATTTCGGATGAATTTTGTGTATAAAAGTTAATGTCATAGGGAAATCTTTGATTGTGGGTTGTGAATTATGTGGAATGTGGCTAATTTCATGGAGTAGATAAAATGTTAAAAAAGGCTAGTTTATACTTTATAGAAATGTAACAACTTTTTATTATATAATTTTGTTAGTTTATTTGTTGTATAAAGAGGGTTAATGTTACACAAGCCAACTTTATTAACTAAAGCAAGCCTAATTAATTATAGAATTCTAATTAGGCTTTATACTATAAAAAACTTTGTTATGTTTGTGAAAAACAAAATCGAAATTTTCAGTTTAAGTAGAAAGATATATGTTATTTTTTTAATCTGTCTGTCAGTTTTAGTACCTCTCTTTGTACTTATTTTGCAGCTTCTAGTTACTTGCTAGATGTCTGTTTGTTTTTATATTTTATTTGACAGTTCAAAAAAAAAAAAAAAAAAAATCGGTGGAAACCACTTTTTTAACCATACAATTTATGGATTGTAGCCTTATTTTTCAAATCAGTTTACCCTTATTTTGACATTCTAATTATTTTACATTATGTCTGAGACTTATCTATTACATGGATTGATTAAAACAAAAGTTAAATATACAGGTATAAATATTAAACATTTTTTAAATTAAAATTTAGAATTAAATACAAATGAACTCACGAATAAGTAAGTAATTCAATGTATAATAATAATAAAAACTAATGACATATTTTAAATAAATGGGTTGAATCACAAATTTCCCCTTGTGCAAAAATAATAAAAACTAATGAGTTCTTAAAATAATAATAAAAACTAATGATATATTTTAAATAAACTAGTTTATAACTCGTGGGAACCACAGGTTATAAAATTAATTAAATTTTTATAATAAAAATTTATAATTATTAATCAATTATTTTAAATAAATTAGTAATTAAGAGATATATCAAAATTTTAAAGTTATTATAACTTCAAATTTAACATACAATTAAAAAATGTAAATTTAAATTTTGAAATAAGTTGCTTAATATATCTACATGACATAATATTAATGAGAAGTTGTATTAGACTGACACTTGACAAAAGAATATTAAAACTATTCATTTATTAGAATATGGATGGGCTGAATCACAAATTTCCCCTTGTACATTGAATAAATGGGATGAAGATATTATTAAAATATGTCATTACTAATAAAAGACAAATTACCCTTGTGCAAAAACTGAAAGTAGCATGCTAATTCTATAACTCCTTATGACTTAAAATGAAAATACACCTAATGGACTAAAAATTAATATTTTTGCCACGTATGTCATATTTAATGAAATTTAATGATATTTTAGTAAACTAATATGACACATGTCATAATTTAATTGAATAGGAGGATTTGTAGGAACAAAAGTAAAAAGATATTTAATTTCTCTATTTTCCCCTTTAAAAAAACAAAATCAAGCAATGTAGTTTGCTTTGTCTGTTACTATGAGTACATGTAAAAAAAATGAGACAGATCTAACAACATTCCCCATTTCTTAATTACTTTCCAAAAAAATTAAGAAATAGCTAGATCCCTAAAATCAAATCACAAATGAGTCTTTAATCATACATTCTTGTTTATTATCCCTCTCATTTCAATCACTCAATAAAACCATGGAAGAAACTCAAATTTGAATCCCATGATTCGACTTACAACTCGAAATTGAGTTTGTACAGATCAGGTTATCTTCTTGATGAATTTTAAGAATAACTTATAATTTAAATATATTTAAAAAATCATTTTTTATTTAAATATCCCTTTTCTAATAAATGAATAGTTTTAACCTCCTTTTGTCAAGTGTCAATTTAATACAACTTCTCATTAATATTATGCCATGTGTCATGTAGATATATTAGGCAACTCATTTCAAAATTCAAATTTAAATCTTCTAATTATATGTTAAATTTGAAGTTATAATAACTTTAAAAATTTGATATATCTCTTAATTAATAATTTATTTAAAAGATTTATTTAAAATAATTTATTAATAGTTATGAACTTTTATTATGAAAATTTAATTTAATTAATTTTATAACCCGTGGTTCCATAATTATAAAATAGTTTTTTTGTTAATAAATAAAAGGTCAAAATTAAAATGGGACTCGTGATTCGGGAAGGTTGTAGACTGTAATACAGTAGTAGAAAAAGAACATTTTGCACTGCTGATTCCATCGATTAAAAGCAAATTCATCAAAAAACCCTCACCAAATCAGAAAACATAATCTATCAAAAACCCTAGAATTAATAATGGATGCAGATACAGTTTTAGAGTTGGTGAAGAAAGGCGCCTCTCTTCTTTTCCTCGATGTTCATCAGCACACTCTTCTTGGCATCGATACTCAGGTACTACACTACCCTTTATTTATAACTCTTCTATTTTTTCTCCATAATCGATATCCCTTATTTATTTCTGATACAAAAACAAAACAGAGTTCAATTGCTACGTAGTTACAGATAGCTAATTATGTAGTTCATAAATTTCAAAAGTACTAATCGAGAATTTGAGGTATTTTATTTACTATCTTGCGATTCCGTGTTTAATATCTGTATATGAATATACTACAACACAGATGTTTTCTGTTGGACCTAATTTCAAAGGTATCAAGATGATTCCTCCAGGTCCTCACTTTATATGCTACAGTTCTTCAAATAGGTTAGCTACTTTTCATCATCCAAATTCGCCATTTTTCTATATTCATATCATTTTGTAACGCTTTAGAGAATTTATAGAAAAATCATCAAAGGTGAAATGAAATTGACAGCAACTTTTTGTTGTATACAGTTTCTGTTACTGTTCTTAGAAAATTTATAGAAAAATCATCAAAGCTCTAAATCCAAATCCGCAAATTCTGTGAGTTTGGAATATGAGTCTAGTTTGTTCGTACATTTTATCATGATTTTTAGTGATCTCTGACAGAGGTGAAAATGTTCATAATCACAGACTGGTCCGGGTTTGCCTCTGAAATGATAGGCAGTTTTGTAAAAATCACCATAAATTGTAGAAAAATCATATGGAGATGTGAAAGTAGCCATTTTAAAGCTAAGAGTTTGAACTACTTGCACCTGGAACAGTTTTGAAAACTAAAATATTTAAGTTGACCAAAACAGTCCGTGATCGAAGTTCATCTTTTCTGATGTAATCTGATAGAAAAAGTTTAATTGTGTTCTTGATGATTTTACTTGTATTCCCCCTTTAAAACTTAAGAAAAACATGTAAATGTAGGGGTATGAACTCACCTTATGTGATTTCAGTAGATGAAAGTGAGATAGAGGAAATGTTCAACCCAAGAACACTAAGAAGATGTCTTGATGATTCGAGAATCTAACACCGAATAAGATGGAATTTGTGTAAGATATCAATGATTTGAGTAGAATGGAGTTTAATAATTATGTGAATGATGAAGATACTTACTAATTGAAAAAAATCCCTGGAGAAAGCCTTGAAGTTCTTGAAGTTGAGAGAAAAGATGAGAGAATTTTGGAGAGTGTTCTTGGTTGCTAAATGTAGAATGAAAGGGCTTTTAAGGAGAATGAGGAGAGAGGACCAATCCTCCAGCTCTTAGAACGTGGGAAGAGCTGGAGATAGGGTGTAAAGGTCCACTAAGGAGATAAGGGGTGGTTGGAAAGAATGGCTGATCATAGAGTGAGGTGGTGGTGGCTTGCTTTTGTCATAAAATAAGGAAAAACAAATATTCCCTCAATAATTAGTCCAACCACCAATTCTTTTAATACATTTTTATAAAAACCCTGGAGATTTATATATTTTGGGGCCTTAGTTTATAGAATAAAGTTTTGGGTGAAAATCCCACGTTAAAATAATGAAAAACGGAGTTAAAACGAAGTCGTAGTCGAAAAACCGGTAAAAAGGGGCCGTCTGCGAGACCTCTCGCATGGGCTGTCTGAGAGGCTTCTCATGCGAGGCTTCTGTCCTGAGAGGCTTCGGTCCTGAGAGGCTTCTCATGAGAGGCTTCGGTCCTGAGAGGCTTCTAATGAGAGGCTTCGGTCCTGAGAGGCTTCTCATGAGAGGCTTCGGTCCTGAGAGGCTTCGGTCCTGAGAGGCTTCTCATGAGAGTTTTCGCTTCTAATAGGAGGGCTTTGGTTCCTTAAGGTTATTTTACCCGTTTTTACCCCGTTTCAAGTGGTTTTTGACCCGGTTAAGGGTCGAGATGACCCAAATGATTACAAAAAGTTAAAGTAACTTTTGAGAGAGATTCGGGAGAGATTTGGGAGAGATTTTAATAGAGAGAGATTGAGTGAAAGAGATTGAGAGAGGTTTCGTTTGTGATCTTTTTGAGTGTCCGGCTTCGCAACGCAAGGTTCGTAAACCCCGTTAAACCGTGTTTTAGTGTCGTACACACTCCCGATGAGTGTGCAATAATGTTTTATCGTTTTGGTTCAATGTTTACTTAGGAAATTCAACACACGAACTTTCCAAATGATGTTTCTCTCATTAAGATATTGCATTGTACAGTAATTACATAGTGTAAACCCTAATATACAAGGGTTAATTGAGTCGATTGGTTTTGACTTGTTGACTTTGACTTGACTCAATTTTGACGGTTGTCACATCATCCCCCCGTTAGAAAGAATTTCGTCCCGAAATTTGCATTTGACTGGGACATCAAGAGTTTGGGAAAAGATGTGGGTATTTTTGTTTCATTTGATCTTCGCGTTCCCAGGTGAACTCAGACCCTCGTTTAGCGTTCCAATGAACCTTCACGATGGGAATACGACTTTGTTTCGTTCGTTTGATTTCCCGATCCATGATTTCGACTGGTTCCTCCACGAAGTGGAGATTTTTGTTAACTTCGATTTCGTCGAGTGGTATTACGAGTGTCTCACCAGACAAACACTTCTTTAGGTTCGACACGTGAAATGTGGGATGTACTTTGTCGAGTTCCTGAGGTAATCGAAGTTTGTATGCTACTGGCCCAATCTAGCAAGGATTTCGAATGGCCCGATGTACCTTGGATTTAGTTTCCCGCGTTTGCCGAATCGTATCATTCCTTTCCAAGGGGAAACGTTTAGTAGTACACGATCACCCACCTGGAATTCCAAGGGTTTGCGTTGTTTGTCTGCGTAACTCTTTTGCCGA